ACACACACACACACACACACACACAGTCTGACTTACTTTCGTGCTTGGAAGTTCCCCACGTATGCCGCGGGACGCCGGGGCTCTTGATAATCGCCCTCCCGGCGTTTTTCAAGGCGTCCATCGCCGACGTGGCTGCTCAACTTCCGTCAGGTGGACGTTCCTCCAAGGTGGAGGCGCCGTTCGACAGGCAGGCGGTGAGTGGGAGGGAGAGAGACCGCCTCCTCGCCTCGTCTCCCGGTTTGGCACTCTCGAGGTGTCCCGCTTCCTCCCTGGTGCCGGCGAGCAACTACGTCTGACGTTAAGCAGAGCGACACACTATCCGGCTCGTCTCCGGTGTTGAGGGCGTGTCTCTCCAGGATCGGTAGGCGGGCGCCCAAACTTCATCCCTATTTCTTCATGTTGTCTTTTTTATTTTCTATTCTTTTTCAGTTTGTTGTTTTTTTTTTTGGGGGGGGGCTGGTATCTGAAATTATTTGTAGGTTAAATGTAATAGTGTTGATGGCATTACATTTTTTTTTAATAGTGATCATAGGAAAATACTACATTAAATACGTTTATTTGAATTGATTTAGAACAAGCTAGTGAGTGGCATAGCTTTCTTTTTTAAATACGATAATAATCATAATATAATGACCGAAAAATAAATCTCAAATACATTTCAATGGAGCATTTAGCATCGTCTGCCTGTTAGCGCCCTCTGGCGTTTTCAGCGAGTCATTGCAGTCCATCGTATTCGTGGGCTTTGTGTGTTTTAGCATAAAATTTCAAACGCATGTATTAAGATCATGAATATATTGTAAATCTTTCATATATGTTTTTAATTCGACATATTCGATTTTTGTAGCAATTGTTTCGGTCTTTTAATGCACTGTATGTACAGTACATATATGTTGACATGTACATGTTTTTTATTCTCAAGTCAACAGATGCACAAACATGCACTGTAACAGTGTCTGACATAGTGACATATTTATTAACCCATCATCATTTCGTCACACTCATGAAGCAAAGCAGTGCCTGAACAGTCACTTTATTATTCTACTCGTTATTAATGGAGTGTTGGCCAGAGGTGGTGGCATCATCATTAGCATCATGCTGCTGCTGCTGCTGCTGCTATATTGGTGGTGACCTGTGTTCATTTCCAATCATCTCAATCCTGCATGTCACATATACGCGACACACACTCGACTAAGTGTGCGTGTGTGTGTTTTAAGGTGGAAGGTGAACAGACAAAATCCGTGGACAAAAATCTTGGGCCACGTCTCTTGGTTAATGCAATATGTCTCACCGGGAGACATCGGCTTGATTGTTCTTAGTCTGTCGCATTAATAAAATCATTCGGAGGACAGGGAACGTTCTTCTTGCAATGAGGGTTACACTTGTACTCGCCACGTGCCCCACAACTTTTGTCCACATGACTTGTGACTTTCCCTCATTCTTAAGCGCCACAAAGTCACCTTCGCCTGCCGTTTCACGCTTGAGCGGCCCGGCCTACCTGTGCCTGCTCAGCAGTATATCCTGATAGATGTTATACTGTGTATAGTTGGGGTGGGTGGCTATAAAATCTTGCGAGGGGACGGTTTTCTTGTTAAAGGGGTGCTAAATGAAAGAATTAGCCCAACAGAGAAGGCGAACATGCTTAAATGTCACTGTGAGCTTTCACCACAAAACGGAGGCTCTCCGGATTGCTGACAACAGGGGTGGGCAAACTTTTGCACTCAAGGGCCGCCATTTGGATTTTTAGATGGGACAAATCATTAAAAGATTGGCGGAGTTCACCTCCAAAAAGTCCGAACAACCAAATAACATTTTGCTCTCACTTTGAATTCAATTATTTAGCAATAATGCAATCAAGAACGACTCAATAAAGTCCTTCAATGAGATACAAATGCACAAAATTTCAGGGCTGGAGAAAAAAATTGGACATGACATCATGATGTCGTCGACCTGAAGTGCTAACAAGTGAAAGACGGAAATGTGAGGAGGAGGTCATTTTTTTTCCAAGTCTGCCTTGACTGCCTGCGTCTGTATTTTATTCTTCACAATAAATCAGTGAACAAAAGATTGAATTAGATAAATGTATTAAAAACATGATTAAAGGACCCAGAGGGCCATATGTGACCCCGGGTCACACTTTGCCCACCCCTGCTTTGAAATGACAGACACACTAATTCAGCGCTCGTGCGCACACACACGCACACACATACACACACACACGCACACACACACACACACACACACACACACACACACACACACACACACACACACACACACACACACACACACACACACACACACACACACACACACACAC